ACACAGGTCCAAGACTCCAAGCCATTGTCATGATTCAATAAATTTATTTTATTACTTTGGTCGAGTTCGGAGAGGTGAGAACCCGTACGGCTTTATTCCCTTTCTCGCATTCCATTCCTTTTCTCTGGAGATCATGACAAATTTTCGGCTTCAATTGGAAAGAGAGCGAACTTTTCCCCCTCAAAAACTTTCCAAACAGGATGAACATATTCTCCTACCTTCCCTTCTACCCGAATAGGCCCTGAGAGAAAACCTCATATGAGGGAGGGTTGTGAACTTGTGATGCCTATAAATGGCAATATCTAAATTTGAGAGTTCCCTCCTCTTAATCAGTGCCGGAGCCACCTTGAGCTTGCCCTGGGCAGCTACTCAGGGCAAGAAAATGAAAAACACATATGTAGGTACGAAAGACTTGTCTCCCGATGTCATAGCTGCGGCTTTGAGAGCTTCGTCGATCGTGATCTTACTGACTATGGCTGCTCCAGGTGCTGCAGTTGATATAGGTGTTTAGCTATTCATCTAACTCTGTAGTTGCTCCTCTACCTCCTTTTGCTCTACACGATCGCTTTATTTTCCGCCCAGGGCAAAAAACATTCATGGCTACGCCACTGCTCTTAATAACATTTTAGTTATTTGTTAATTACATACGCAGTTCAAATGAAAAACGTTAGGTTACGGCGTTTCTTTGCATCGGACTTATCGGGCCGGATCGAAAGGGACCCGTTATCCTATAACCGACCAAAACCCGTGAACTATAAACCCTTCTTCTCCATCGTTCCTAATTTTCCCTCTTCTAAACCCTAACCCCAGAGCGGTCATCGCTGGCCGCAATCTTCATTCGGGTACTTTTTCTCTCTCTCTTCTCTGCTCATTATGTTTAGGGTTTTAGATGTTTCGATTACGATCACCGTGGATTTTGGGTGAGATCTTTTCGATTGTATCATTTCCAGGGTTAGATTCGAGATGGCGGACGAGGGGCAGAAGCGCCTCGATTACGTTGAGGAGACGGTGCTGAAGAAGAGGAAGAACAATGATCAGTGGGCCATTAAGAGGAGGGAGCAGATCGAATCTCGAAAACAAAGGAACAAAGACATCACCAAGTCTGCAATCAAGAGGCCTGAGCAATTTGTTCAGGAGTACCGCCTGAAGGTAACTTTCAAGCTTGTTGAATTGTGAATTACTGGGAAATACCTGTCTTCGGTTGGTTTTTCTTGGTGGAGAGAATCGGAAAAATCGGATTTTGGCCACTGTGAGCACTGTGGCGAGGAGGTAGGAAAGATCATATAGCTAATTTAAATTTTGCCCGTGTACAGTATAGGAATAGAAATTGCAATTTTAGCCATTTGGCTGATATCTCGTGTTTCTAATTGAAAGATTTTGATTTTCTAGTTGATTTAAATCTTACCCATATAAAACAATGGAAGGAAGGATGAGAATTTGAACCCCCCAAAAAAACCCCAAAATTTGTGTCCTTTTCATTGTTCCTATTTCCAACTGTTTAAGGTCAAGACCATCGAATTTTACGATGGCATCCAGTAAAATACTTATGCTTGGAAAATAGCCATCTGATGGGAAAAGTTTTTTATGGTGAAAAGGGTTTTGTTGACAATTTCAACTCAATCATCTTTGATTGGTTATTGTAAGAAATTGAAGGATAAAGCTAGAATTTGAATGGTTGGACAATATTTTTGCAGTTATAATGATGTGAAACTTTAATTATATATTATAACTAGAAGCAGATTTATGTTTTAAAATAAACTCAAAATTATAGATGCTAGTGGAATCAGAAGATCCTCTTCAAAGTTTGTACTTTTGGAACTTAAATATGCATAGGGATCCGAGTACATTTAGGTTGCGGAATAATGATTATGGTTGCATGCTCTCTTAATACATAATGTGCTTTCTTCAATATCTTTAGTGGTATTTACAAATGTAAAAGATAGTCACAAACCTGTAGTTTAAACAACAGGGCTTCTTTTATTCCTGAAATAGTCTTTAAATTCTGCACGCAGATATCTTTGCCTATGTTGTTACCCTTTTGTAGTCTGCCTATATTGCAAACCTGTAGTATTGCAATGATCTATCCTTCAATTTCTAGGAGTTGGATTTTGTACGTAGGAAACGGAGACTAAAGATGCGGAAGTTATCCATAGGCGACATGAAGTCTAACTTGCTATTTGTAATCCGCATCCAAGGGTGGGTCACTCAAATCATGTTTTCTTTTATCCGCTGACTCTTGTCTGTGGGTGCTTACCTATTGTTAGATGATTCTATTAATTCACATTTATTTTATTTTTAGCTCAACGGACATGCATCCTGCCACAAGAAAAACCCTAAAACAACTGAGGTTGAGGCAGATCCTTAATGGTGTCTTTGTAAAGGCTAATGAAGCAAATTTGAGAAGACTGCTCGCTGTCGATCCGTTCATCACGTATGGGTATGACAAGAAAATTCTCCCTAACTATCTTGATTTATATGTTGCTTTTATCATGGATTTATTCTAAATGGATTATGTTTCCAGTTATCCTAATGCGAAAAGTGTGAGGGAGTTGATCTACAAGAAGGGTTGTGCCATGATAGACAATCAGAGGGTCCCTCTCACAGACAACAATGTTATTGAACAGGTATGTAGACCCTAAGTAATATGTACTGTTTGTTAGTCATGTTTCTTTAGGATCACTTGCCATGTTTCTGGAAAAATGCCGAGTTTTGCATTTTTGTATTTTTAAAAATAATTCTGTACTTATTTTGAACCATTGGATTCAGTTCAATAATAATGCCTAATCACACACATGGTGCATGTATGCAGTTAAAGTTGCAAATGGCTTTCAATGTCAAACGATATGTTCTTGAAGAAGTTATTTCATAATATAAATGGCTATAGGCCTATATATGATGCTTTATTTGCACTATATCAATATATTGCATTTTTTAATTTAGGGGAATGTTGAAGGTCGCTTTCAGGATGTCCTCTGATGATGTATGATCATGCTAAACAATTAGTAGTATGGTAGTACAATGGTAGGATGTTAACCACTCAGTCTGATGACACAAGAATTGATTAACCTGAAATAATGTGTTGGTAGTAGAACAGATCTATTAGTCTGTATCTTCTTTTAAATATGAACGGGTGTGAGCTATTTGTGAAGTTCAGCATGCATGCTGATGATATATCGTCAAGTGATGTGAAACCATGTACATCTGATCTTCAGATATTGTTAAAACACAGAGGGGAATGTGATAATTTCAAGTAGCATAAGTCGTTGAGCAACCAAAGATCAAAATGTGATTATTTACATTTTAGATTAAAATGGCAGTCCTAGTCTGGGGAATTTTGGAGGATTGTTGCTTTGCTACGTCAGCTAAACTTTATTGGGAAGCTCGACCTTTCAAATGTTAGCTAGCCTCTTATTGCAGGCTCATTGCTTTTATGTGCTTGCCTCATCATTGAAATTGACTAATGAAAACAGTTGGTACTTAGTTATCTCTCAGGTTTAAAACCCCACAGCTAATCAGAATTATCATGGAAAAGGCCTAATGATCGTGGAAAATTAGTAATTGCAGTCATTTATGATCTTGTATAAATGGCCTGAGGAATGTTATGATCATGTTTATGAGTTTTCAAAAATTGCAAATTTACTTAATATTTTTAGAGTACAGCCTGGTGCTATAAGATTTTCCAGGTGTTTCTAAAAGAGTTTGCACATACAACTTAGTGCTTGTTCCCTGATGCTGAGGTTTTTAAAAGCACTGAGTTCTCATGGTTTTCGTCACTGTCTGGTGTTTCTAATATCTAGAATAGGCCCAAACTTCTACTATATGGACACTCAGAAACCAGTTCATTACTTAAACCTCTCCTTCACTTAGCATGTTCTACTTACATACTTTAGCACATACTAAGATTCAAGAGTAATTTTAGTTGACACTGTTAGTAATTGGTTTAAGTGATAATTTTTGCTGCAAATTTGTTGCAATTTGCTCCAAGAATGTGGATCTTCTAAAATAGCAGTTCATATGTTTCTTTGTGTCAATAAAACCTTCTATCATCTGATCGTTGAAGTAAAATCATGGAAAGTTCTCTTCATGATTTTCTCATATTTTTTATTTATCTGGATTGGAATTTAGGCTCTTGGGAAGTATGGTATCATCTGTCTTGAAGATATCGTGCATGAAATTTCCAACGTGGGACCACATTTTAAGGAGGTGAGCAGGTTCCTCTGGCCATTCAAGCTCAAGAAGCCTGAAAGCCTTCACCCTTTGAAGAAGAAGCATTTCAAAGATGGTGGTGATTCAGGCAATCGCCAAGAACACATTAATGCATTTATAGAGAAGTTGAATTAAGGCAGATGAGTGATATCTTGGTTCACGCAGTGGTCGACTTTATTTGTTTCGACAAGCCATGTGACTTGAACTTTGGCAGTTAGTGGTGGAAACTGTGTTAAAAAAAACTGTGGATTTGAACTGTTAACTACCCGAAGGTTTGGATTATATGTATTGCTTGTAACCAGTTACAAATTTTGTGCTATTTCCCATGTTTTGAACTTAAAGTGTGCCTCAAAAAGCATTTAAAAATCGGTCTTTTAGCTCCCTTCGCTGATAAGCTTCAACTTTATGCAATAATTAAACTTCTAGGTAGAGGAAACGTTGTATAAACCTAGCGGATAGCCAAATACAAGCATGTTGCAGTTTTCTTTTCGCGGTGCAGTTTCAGGCTGCCGTCGCAAAAGTAAATTTCTTAGAACTAGTCTTTCTTTTCCCTTTGTGAATTTTATGCAGCAGACCGAGAATTTTATGTGATTATTACTTGAGAATTTTATGTGATTATTACTTGGGCACGTTATTCTTATAGCATTTATAATTTAGGTTGTAATCACTTAGGAGCTAACATTGACAATTAGATTGCCCAGCTGCAAGAGTCGAAAGGTGCTGTTAGAACAAATGAGGGATTCTAATGAAATGCTTCAGCTGAAAGCACGAAACGATCCTCAATAATAGTACCATTGGCAAACAGCTTGATCCTATAGTAGAAACAGGACTCTGCTGCAATTTTCATAAGGCATAAATAACAATAAAGGCAATCATGTATACAAATAGTTCGGGATACAAAATGGCAAGAAACTGTAAGGATTATCGAGCAGTAAACGTGGGTTCAACATCTGGATTCGCTTGTGATCTTCGAGTGTATTTGATGAGCAATGCTTCTGAAGAAAGTCCTGGTATCTTCAAATCCCTGTATGCAGGAAGAGAAAAAAAATATGTTAAAACTTGTCATAATATTCACATGAGGAAGAAAAACAAGCTGAAGGACTGATGAAAACCTTATGTAGGGCTCCAAGTCCTTCCATTCCCATTTAGACCGCTCTCGAAAAAGTGCAGCAAAACGATCAGCTGGAACTGTGGGAAGAGCTGAGACGCTAAAAGCTCGAATCCAACTTTCTACACCAATTTTATCATAAAGAATTTCACCTTCAAGCATTTTCAAATCAGCATTCATCCCTGACGGGATGCTCTGCAGCCATTTCTCCATGAATTTCTCTAGCTTCATCTTGCCACCGCTCAAGATCTTCGAGGCAAAATTTAAACATACCCGCTTCTCATTGAGGCTCCACAAACAATCGCCCATATTATCCTCTTTACTTCCAAATGTTTCGAGGCAGTGTAGAACAATTCTTTCGGGAAACCCATCTGCTGCTAAAGCAGAAACCAGTTGATCTTCCGGGAGTGAATTTAGGGGCCATTCACATAAGATAGAATTATTCAGGATCATGTTGAGGATTTTATCCATGGATTCTGCATCAATAATTCTCCAGTATCCATCTATCTCTACAGCTGACAGAGACTTCAGTGCTGATCTCAGCTCCTCTTCGCTGGCCTGGATTAGCTCAAGTAGGTCTTGCCATGAATACAATCCTTTCTTTCTATTGGAATTGATCTCTAAATCTTCTTCGAGGATGTAGGGTCTTTCATTTAAGAATGTTCTCAGTTTATCAAGCCTTGGAGCAGTTAGGATCAGTTCCATAGTCCCTGGAGCGACTTTGAGGACTGATGCAACTGACTCCATCACTGCAGAGTTGTTTGCCTCACCGTCAGTGGAAACAAGATTGGAGCTTGACAGAGTTGTCTCTCCTGCGGGGATCAGGAACACTGAGTTGGATGTCCCAACGAACTTCATAGCATAAGTGGATGAAGGTGAGCAGAGCACAGCTTCTTCATGAGGCTGCCCTCGGATGGTCACCCTTCAAGAAAGGAATATAATCAAGCCAAAAAATTTAAAGAAGGGTCTAAACTAAAGTATTTGATTGCTAAGAAGGGCAGAAGATTACTTAGGATGATATATGAGAAGGATATGTTGGTCATAAAGAAAAAGATGGTTTTGATGACAGCCCAGAAAAAAGTGCAGTCAATGTGAGATGGGCTGTCAATCCAGCTCAAGAAGAACATCTATAATCTTGGTATAGTTTTAGGTGGAAAGAAAAAGTAATTCATGAGGTATCTATGTAAAGTTAGGTGGTAATAACTTTATAAGTGCTATTTGTACATGCTTTTGTTCTAAGAATCACATGAAGCACAATATTAGGAGTGTCACTTAAAAAACTTATTTCAAGATAAATTTCAACTACTGAAAAAATCTTCATAATTGGTTGTAACAAGGGAGACAACAGTAGAAAATAGAGAGAGCAGAGAAGAAGGCTTCTTCGTTCAGCAAAGCTACATTAGTTTTCATCTAACTGACACAGCATAAGATTTAATTGAATAAATGTACTGATTTTAATTTTTAACTG